CGTAGATATAGAGACGTAGATTGTGCTGGTGCACAATTGAACTGGTGCTCCCACAAGGTACTAGTGGTCCCAGATTTTTTTTATTACTGCACACACTGAGGGCACAGACACATTCTTTCATGTCTAGGCGACTCAAGCCTATTGCACCGAATCTGAAGGAGTGAAAAATAAAACGTAGATCTACGTTCGGAGCACTATGCGTACAAACGTAGATCTACACTTAGCAAGTTTAAGGGTTAATACGTCACTGACACTGGCTCGTAAGATGTATATATGTGACACCGCCAGTCAAAGTGTTAAAAAAAAACTTTTATTTATCCCCCCCCCCCAAAAAAAAAAAAAAAAATATTTGGATTGCTGGCAGTGAAAACGTAGATCTTCATTAAGATAGTTTAAGGGTTAAAGTGCAGGCATTGTACTTCCCATTTCCAGGACTCGAGTCCGGCTAACCGGTTTCCTTGAATCCCTTCACAAAATATTACCCTACTCACACTCCAACAGCTCGTCAGGTCCCAAAAACCATTTGTTTCCATTCACTCCTATTTATCATGCACGCACATGCTGAAAGTCCAAGCCCTTTGCCCACGAAATTTCCTTTATCCCTTCCGTTCAGCATTTTCAGGGATGACCCCAACCCTGCCTTCCTTCCCCAATAGATTTATACACTCTCCAAGTCATTCTACTTAACCCTTTGACTGTTTCAGGGCCCTCTCTGAAACTGTCATTCTATGTCGCCAAATATTCGAAAAAAAAAAAAAATATTTTTTCTTATGAAAATGTTAGGAATATTTTTACTAGTGTTTTAAGCCTAAAAAAAATTTTTGCCATCAGTACTTACCGAGATATAGAGCCGCAAAGTTTGCAGAAATCGACGTGCGTATGGCAACAGCGGCGACTGCCGCCCACCCGGTATTCTTTTATTTACTCTAATTCAAAGGTTTCTTGCATTTTTCAATATTTTTCTTTTCCAGGTAACTTATGTGGCCTGTGAGACCAATGTAAGGTGCATTGTTCAAATATACACTCATTATTACAACACAATAACAGAACAAACTTTTTCACTATTAGTTTGTGTATACACTTTGTTTACACAAACAAACATACAAAACAATGTTTATTACTATTGTTCCATAATATATATACATATGTACAGTCACTAAGCACGTTCCTAGAACTGCTGCAGCTTGTGGAACTCTTGAAACATGGGTATATGCAGGGGGCATTCACACTCCTCACACATAAAACGAGTGTCTCTGCGTGTTTGTGGGCGTTTTGTGGTATGCATAGATACATAACACCTCTTCTGAGCATTTTTCTTGGCAGTAGTAGGAGGCAGTTGTATGGGGTAGTGATCACCAGGCCTCAAACGAGATGAACGTCTGTGGGCGCTGGTCTATTGCAGGAGTTGCTCCTTTGTACTTTGCAATTATTTGTCTGATTACTGACAGGCAAAATTCACCATTTTTTGGTGTTTTGTTGGTCTTCAACTTGTATATGTTATAAGCATTTAGCATAGAGATATCAACAAGATGGAAAAAAGTTTGATATACCACTTATAACTCTTGCGTACACAGTCTGCAACCCAATCTGCATGTCACATTTGTCCACTAAGCGCATATTGAGGTTGTAGTCCATGACAGCTGCAGCTTTAGAATGGGTTCATTGGTCTCTCTGTTTGTCCCTGCCACTGGTACCATTTCGTTTGTGTGAACTGATGTCAACAATGTGACATCACGTTTGTCATGCCACCGAAATGCCATGATGTCATTGGCAGCAAAGGCTTGCACCTCACCTCTGCGAGTGCCAGCGTCGAACCTTGGCTATGTTTTGCGATTACCACGCACTGTGCCACACACGTCTTGTCAAGTTCACTCGCAAGAAATCACTGAGTAAGGGCTTGTGTACCAGTTTATCAGTAAATAACATATGCCCCTTACCAAGATATGGTTCCATCATTGTTCGAACCACATCACCAGAGATATCCAATAACTTCATGGTATCTCTCAAAGTATTACTGCCAGTGTACACAATAATATCTAAAACAAGACCACTTCTGCAATCACACAGTACAAATAGCTTTATACCAAAGCGTTTCCTCTTGCTTGGTATATATTGCTTGAATGAGAGTCTTCCTTTGAATAAAATCAAGGACTCATCAATAACAAGCTTCCTGAAGGGATAAAAATACATGCAGCACTTTTGTTTCAGGTACATAAACACATTTCTTATCTTATATAACCTGTCGCTTCTGTCAGGCCTTGTTTTGTCTGAAAAGTGTAACATACGCAACAGTATCAGGAAACGATTGACACCTATAATGTCACTAAAACCTGGAGTTGAAATCAGGCGATCTGTTGTCCAGTATGTGGTGACAGTGTGCTTATACACATGTGGCATAAGCATTATTGTGGCAAAAAACAGGTACATCTCTGCCACAGTTGTCTCCTTCCACTTGTGTAGCCGTGATTTTGGTGAGAGAATTGTATTTGCCATGGTGTATTCACAGTATGTGTTGGTTTCCCTGACAATGATGTCCATCAGGGGTTCATCGAAGAATAACTCAAAGCAGTCCAGTTCACTGGCATTGTTCCCAAGTGGACAAGATGGCTTTATTCCACTTTGTGTTTCATCAAAAGTCATGGGGACTGGGAACAAACTCGTCACCGTCCTGCCAATCCCAGATGCGGTCTGCTGGTGGGGTCTGGATATTGTACCGTGGTTGTGGCTGTGCAGGTTGTGGTGGTGCAGGTTGTGGCAGTGTGGGGTAGGGTGAGGCTGGTTGTTCTGCTGAGTCAGCGCGTGGCTAGTAGAGTGGCCCGGTGATGGTGCCACATGGGCCGTGCCACCCTCACTATCACCACCACTGCTCCTCCCTCACTGTCACCATTCATACCCATCGTTACAATATCGTCATCTTCACTATCAGGTCGTGGTGTTGGGCCACGGGATGTGCTCCCAGAGTTTCTCCTTCCCCTTGGAACAACATATGAAACACTACCAGACCGCATGCTACGTCGTACATACTGGCGCTTCACTGGGGAATATTCACTCTCACTGTCACTAGAACTGCTTTCAATGACCTTGAAATCACTATCACTATCACTGCTATCATCAGGGTGTTGTACACGACCAAATAGTTTCCTCTTTCGTCCTGGTACAGGCAAAGGTGAATGTGAACAAGCCAGCACAGCACCAGAGGTCGAAGGTTGTGGGTCATCTGGGTTTTCGTCACTATTTACGTTATCCTGGCACTTTTTTTCGGTAACACTCACTTGAAACCCTTGAATTCACTGTCACTGACATTTTCATCGCTGTTAGAGCTATCACTTGGGAACAAAAGACCTCCAATCCGCCGAGGAGTGAGGAACTTCTTACCGAGAGGCATGGTGAAAATGGACTGACAACATGGCGTTCCCACAATGCACCGCTAGGTCCCAGATTTTTTTCACAGGGTGCACACCGACCACTGAGACCCATTCTCTCCCGTGTAGGCCTACCAGGCCTTTGGCACGCGATTTGAAGCCGCTAGAATTTGTGCGTATAAATACGTCAGAAACATTGGCTCGTAAGACGTATTTATACGTCGGAAACAGTCAAAGGGTTAATTCCATTCTCTCTAAATGACCAAACCACCTCAACAGCCCCTCTTCAGCCCTCTGACTAATACTGTTAGTAATTCCACACCTCCTCCTAATTTCCACACTACGAATTCTCTGCATAATATTTACAACACATTTTCCTTAGACACGACATCTCCACTGCCTCCAACCACCTCCTCAGTGCAGCATTACAGCCCATGCTTCACACCTGTATAAGAGTGTTGGTACTACTATACTCTCAAACATTCCCTTCTTTGCCTCCATGGATAATGTTCTTTGTCTTCACAGATACCTCAATGCACCACTCACCTGTTTTCCTTCATCAATTCTGTGGTTTACCTCATCCTACATAAACCCATCTGCTGACAAGTCATCTCCCAAATATCTGAAAACATTCACTTCTTCCATACTCCCTCCAATGTGATATCCAGTTTTTCTTCATCTAAATCATTTGATACCCTCATCATCTTACTCTTATCTCTATTCACTTTCAACTTTCTACCATTGCACACCCTCCCAAACTTGTCCACTAACCTTTGCAAATTTTCTTTAGAATCCCCCTAAAGCACAGTATCATCAGCAAAAAGTAACTGTGTCAACTCCCATTTTGTATTTGAATCCCCTTAATTTAATCCCACCCCTCTCTCCAGTGCCCTTGCATTTACTTCTTTTAAAACCCCATCTATATATATATATATATATATATATATATTTTATTATTTTAACAAGTTGGCCGTCTCCCACCAAGGCAGGGTGACCCAAAAAGAAATTACTTTCATCATCATTCAGCGCTTTCACCTCACTCATACATAATCACTGTTTTTGCAGAGGTGGCCAGAACACAACAGTTTAGAAGCATATACGTATAAAGATACACAACATATCCCTCCAAACTGCCAATATCCCAAACCCCTCCTTTAAAGCGCAGGCATTGTACTTCCCATTTCCAGTACTCAAGTCTGGTTATAAAAAAATAACCGGTTTCCCTGAATCCCTTCACTAAATATTACCCTGCTCACACTCCAACTGCTCATCAGGTCCCAAATACCATTCATCTCCATTCACTCCTATCAAACATGCTCACGCATGCTTCCTGAAAGTCCAAGTCCCTTGCCCACAAGACCTTCTTTACCCCCTCCCTCCAACCTTTTTGAGGACGACCCCTACTCCACTTTCCTTCCCCTACAGAATTATACGCTCTGTCATTCTACTTTGATCCATTCTCTCTAAATGACCAAACCACCTCAACAACCCCTCTTCAGCCCTCTGACTAATACTTTTATTAACTCCATACCTCCGAATTTCCACACTCCGAATTCTCTGCATAATATTTACACCACACATTGCCCTTAGACAGGACATCTCCACCGCCTCCAACGACCTCCTCGCTGAAGCACTTACAGCCCAAGCTTCACACCCATATAAGAGTGTTGGTACCACTATACTTTCATACATTCCCTTCTTTGCCTCCATAGATAATGTCTTTTGTCTCCATATATACCTCAGTGCACCAATCACCATTTTTCCTTCATCAATTCTATGGTTAATCTCATCCTTCATACATCCATCTGCTGACACATGAACTCCCAAATATCTGAAAGCATTCACTTCTTCCATACTCCTCTCCAATTTGATATCCAATCATTTGATACTCTCATCACCTAACTCTTTTCTATGTTCACTTTCAACTTTCTACCTTTACACACACTCCCAAACTTGTCCATTAACCTTTGCAACTTTTCTTTAGAATCTCCCATAAGCACAGTATCAGCAAAAAGTAACTCTGTCATTTCCCATTTTGTATTTTTATTCCCCATAATTTAATCCCAACCCTCCCCAACACCCTAGCATTTACTTCTTTTAACAACCCCATATATACATAAACACCATGGTGACATTACGCATCCCTGTCTAATACCCACCTTTACCGGAAGTAGTCTCCCTCTCTTCCACACACCCTAACCGAACTTCACTATCCTCACAAAAACTTCACAGTTTTTAGTAACTTACTACCTTTCCATATACGTACTTGCAACATCTGCCCCATTCCTCCCCTATCCACTCTATCATATGCTTTTTCTTAATCCATAAATGCAATGAAAATTCCCTACCTTTATCTAAAAACGTTCACATATATGCTTCAATGTAAAAACTTTGATCTACACATTCCCTAACCACTCTAACACCACCTTGCTCATCCGCAATCATACGTTCTGTGTTGCCTCTAATTCTTTCAGTAATAACCCTACCATACACTTTTCCCCTACTCTGTTTACTCTTTTTTTAACTGACAAGATCCATTCATTCCTAGTCTTTCTTGTTTATCTCACTCCAAAGTTTTTTCTTATTTTCATCAAAATTTCTTGACAGTGCCTCTCGTAAGCTACCTTTTTCTCTTTTATCACAACCTTTAATTCATCATTCCACCAATCGCTACTCTTTCCTCCTGCACCCACCCTCCTATAGCCACAAACTTCTGCCCCACATTTTTAATACTGCATTTTTAAAGCTATTCCAACCCTCTTCAACCCCCCCCCCTCCCCCACTACTCATATTGCACTAGCCTACCTTTCTGCCAATAGTTGCTTATATCTCACCCGAACTTTTCTCCCTTAGTTTTATACACTTTCACCTCTCTCTTGTTGTTGCCATTTTCTTTTTGTCCCATCTACCTCTCACTCTAACTGTTGCTACAACTAAATAATGATCCAATATATCAGTTGCCCCTCTATAAACAGTTTTTTCCTGAAGCCTACCCATCAACCTTTTATCCACCAATATATAATCTAACAAACTACTTTCATTATGTGCTATATCATACCTTGTATATTTATTTATCCTCTTTTTCATAAAATATGTATTACTTATTACCAAACCTCTTTCTACACAGCTCATTTGAAAAACCCCTCTTTTCTCTCTCCTCTACACTTTTCTCTTCTCCAGGTGCATATACTGAGTTTACCTGGAGAGAGTTTTGGGGGTCATTTCCCTCGCAGCCCCGGGCTGTGACCAGGCCTCATAAGCTTACTATAACCCACTTGTCACATCCAACCTTTATTTTACTCCACATAATCCTTGAATTAATACATTTATATCCCTCTTTTCCTGTCATAGCTTATCCTTCAACGTTATTGCTACTCCTTCTTAGCTCTGTATGTTAAACAACCATGGTGGCATTACACATCCCTGTCTAAGATCTACTTTTACTTGAGAAGTTATTCTCCCTCTCTCCTATGAACCCTAACCTGGGGTTTCCCACTATTCCTCATAAAAACTCTTACAGCATTTAGTAACTTATTACCTATTCCATACACTTGAAACATCTGCCACGTTGCTCTCCTATCCAATCTATCATATGCCTTTTCTAAATCCATAAATGCAATGAAACTTTCATCCTTTATTCTAAATACTGTTCACTATATTTCAGTGTAAACACCTGATCTACACGTCCCGTACCCATTCTAAAGCCTCCTTGCTCATCTGCAATCCTGCTCTTGCCTTACCTCTAATTCTTTCAGTAATAACCCTGCCTTTACACTTTATCTTGTATACTCTAAACCTATAAATTTTTACAATCTCTTTTTGTCCCCCTTTCCTTTATATTTAAAGGAGTTATACACACAATGCTAATCGCTAGGTACCTTCCCTTCTTTCATACATTCATTAAAAAAGAAATACCAGCCACTCCAACACTATATCTCCCCCCGCTTTTAACATTTCTGTCGTGATCCCATCCATTCCAGTGCTTTACTCTCTCTTATTCTACGTAATGCCTCATGCTTCTTTCCCCCACACTCCCCATCCTGTTCTTCTTCATCCTAAAAGATGTTTACCCCCTGACCAGTGCATGAAATTACTGCCTCCCTTTCTTTTATCGACCCTTTAAAAAGTTCCTCAAAAATTCCCGCCCCTCTACCCAATACCTCTAGCTCCCCATCTACTAACTTCTCTACTCTGTTTTTAACTGACAAATCCATTCATTCCCTAGGCTTTCTTAACTTGTTTATCTCACTCCAAATTTTTTTTCTTATTCTCAGCAGAATTTCTTGACAGTGCCTCTCCTACTCTATCATTTGCTCTCCATTTGTACTCTCCCCCCTTCTTCACCTTTCTTTTACCCTCCATATACTCTGCCCTTTTATTATCACTTTGCTTTGTAAAAACCTCTCATAGCTACCTTGTTTCTGTTTTTATTGCACCCTTTACCTCATCATTCCACCAATCACTCCTCTTTCCTTCGCACTCTCTATCTAGGCTGAAATTTACCACTCACTCCTTATCTGAGGGAGCTGATCTCATAACTAAGCTATATGAGGGACCCCTTGTCTCATTGATGTACAGTGGACCCTCGACCAAAAATATTAATCCGTTCCAGAGAGCTTGTCATTAGTCAAATTTTTATTTTAGTCGAATTAATTTCCCCATAAGAAATAATGGAAATCCAATTAATCCGTTCTAGACACCCAAAAGTATGAAAAAAAAAAAATTCACATGAAATATACTTTTCCTACTTTAAAAAAAGGGATACTTTGCACAAAAAATACTGTACTGTACTAAATGAAGAATAAATGACCCCTTACCTTTATTGAAGATGTAGTGGTGAGTCATGAGATGGGGGGAAGGGGAGATGGAGGTGTATTAATTTGGGAAAAAACTTGAGTCACTGGACCTCTGTTTTGCCAAAAATCTGTCCATTGAGCTCCTTTCCAGAACAGGCCTGTTTTGTCACAATTGAACACTTTTGGGTTGGAAATTTTTCAGCTTCCCCCATGCCTTATCACACTGTGTATGCCACTACGATTCTTAAATCTCCCCAAACCAACCTTTGCTGGCTTTAAATTCACCAATATGAGCACTAGTTCCAGGCATTTTTTTCATTTTCACCTGGGTGTTAGTCGACTGGTGTGGGTCCCCATCCTGGGGGACAAGTTTTTAACCGTAAAGGGTCCGGCAGATCTTGTTCCCCATGTGTAGTGCTCCAAAAGTAGATCTACGTTTTTTTTTTTTTTTTTTTTTTTTTACATATTTTCAAATATAACAAAAAAAAAAAGTAGATCAAAGCTTTTTTACACATTTTTCAAATGAAAAAAAAAAAAAAGACCTACTTTTTTAAAATACTTTCAAATGTTGAAAACCCTTTTTGTACTACGTTTGGACCGTTTAGGGGTTAAAAAGGCCCCCAATGAAAATAAGTTTGACAGTCCTGATGTTTGCACTGACTTTCTTGGGTTATCCTGATGGCTTACCCCCTGGGGTTGACTGTTTCTTGTAAAGCCACCCCAACAACACACACTCCACTCTTCGATTAGTACAGCTGGCGGTGGTTGCAGCAGCAGTGACCGTGGTACAGCAGCAGCAGCCTGACTGGTACAGAAAACCCCCTGATGCAGCAGCCAGGCCTGACCATGGTACAGCAGCAGCTGACCGTGATACAGCAGCAGCAGCTGGCTGTGGTACGCAGCAGCTGGCCATGGTACAGCAGCAGCAGCAGCAGGTGACCATGGTACAGCAGCAGCAGGTGACCGTGGTACAGCAGCAGCAGGTGACCATGGTACAGCAGCAGCAGCTGACCGTGGTACAGCAGCAGCAGCTGACCGTGGTACAGCAGCAGCAGCTGACCGTGGTACAGCAGCAGCTGACCGTGGTACGATAGTATTTTGATAGTATTTTTTCACCCTTTTTACACGGGGTTTGGCACTAGAAGCTTTCTTTGGGCCCCTAGTGGCTTATTTAGCGTTACAAGCACTAAAAACAGTGGAATACTACAAAACGTATCGAATGTATGCGTGGAACCATCTGCCCTGGCGCTCAGGCTGGACGGACAGGTTCGAGACAATCATGTTGGTCGAGTTTTTCATCATTGGTCGGGCCAAAATTTTTACACTCAAACGCTTTGTTAGTCGAATTTATCGTTAGCCCGTTGCCTTCTTTGGGTTGGGGGCCCACTGTAGTTCTACATGATGGCCACTGAAAGAATAAAATTGCTGCTTACTGAGTTTATCCAGGGAGTGCCTCAATTGCTCTTGGGTTGTGTAGGTGACAATTTCCCAAATTTTTTATTGGGAAATATAAATGATGTATTGGTTTTCATGTATTCCTGGGAGGTATATGCAGTTTACAGTTCTTTCTTTTCAGGATTGTCAAGAATTTGAGATAGAAAAATTGTAATGGAGGAAAGAAAATTAAGAAATATTGAAAATTTGCTTTTTAAATCATTTTAAAATTTCAGGAGTTTAGTGAATTCTTGAGTATCATAAGTATTTTTGTTAGGCTTTATTGTAGACCCTGATATTGCAGATCCCTGATATAAAATAACTTCATTGCCAGTGTAGCAGATGAGTCGTGTAAAACAAATCTTGAATTACTGACAGTTTTGAAGAAAAACGTTTAGGTGATACAAATGGGATTGAAGAACTTGAAA